AGTATTTACGCGGATCCTGCCTCTTGCCTATTGTAACCCTTCTTTTTAATGTTTTGTTCCTCCGAAATTTTCCTCTTTTTTTATCTGCCATCTCTCGCTATATAGTTCATCAGCTAATATCCATCCTGTGCACTCTGAGCGCTCTCTTCTCCCTGTCATTATTAGACACGCCCCTTACTGCTGAATGGCTGCGACTTTGTTTCGGGACTCGGTCCGACACAGTGGTCAAAAGTGTTTTTCAAAAATCGCTTAGTGCACCTTTAAAATGTCTTTTTAGAAATGTATCAGGAGGATACTAAGATGCTTTTAAATTTAACAGCTATGTCATTGACAGTGTGCTGGTTCATGCTTTTAGTGCTAGATGACAGTGGTTTTGACTTCTAGTATTCTTGCCACCAATGTTCCCTCTATTTTTTTTTCTTGCTGAGCAAAACTTTTCTCTATTGAGCGGACATTTCAACTACCTGAGCAAAACATTCTTTATACCAGACCACAGGGCACACACAAAAAAAGTGTGTAATGTTTAACTTTAATGTGCTATTTATATTTGATTTGACCCTTGATGTAACTAAATGATGCTGAGTTTAAAGTTACCTGAGAAAACATTTTTTGAGAGTGCTGTGTTACCAAGAAACCTTATGTTTTCAATCTCACACAAAACAGTTCAGTTCTTTATAATAATATAGCCTAATATAATATAAAAATAAACAGAAAAATTTAAACTGATAAAATCGAATCGAAACGAATCAAATAGAACAGAACAGAAAACAAACTGAAGCATTTAATTAAACTAAGGCCAAGTATATGTAAGCGAGCCTATATATTTAAAAAAAAAAAAAACGTGAATATGTAAATTCTTATAGTTATCTAAACATTCCTATGTATTAGAGTTTGCACACTACTACACCTGTGTGACTGTAAATGTCTCGGAGTTTTGTTGCCGTTCTGTGCCCATCATCCGCTATTTCCACCACTTAATCAAGCCACTCTTCTTTAAAATATGATGACGTTTTATTTCACATGTAATTGCTTTTGTGTTGGCTCTTGTGTTGAGTTATTTCGTCCGCAACCATTAAAGTATTCGATTTCTACAGCGACTCGTTTGGCTCACGTCATTCTCTTTCTATGTAACCTGTAAACCGCATTAACCGGTTCTAACTTGCGACAACCCGAGCATTACAATTATTTCGCATTTACTAGAATTCAATCAATTGGCTTTCCCAACTCGTTTTTTGTCCTGTGCGCGGCACATTATTTCTTCTCCGCGGTCGCGCACGTGCGCAACTCAGAGGGAACATTTCTTGCAATGTCTATTGCCACATTAATGTGTCTACTGAATGTGGGTTTGCGTCTCAGTGACATGTAGTGTCTTGCGGTTGACTCTAATAATGGGCGGTACGCTGTCTGTGATCAGTAGCACACGGCAGCACTTTGAACTAATCACAAATTCATTGTAATTTGTAGTTGCCCTGACGGGCAGAGCATGTTGTGGTTTGTGGTTTGGTATAGTTAATGCCCAGACAGTTTGCCAGTAGAACGTGATGAGGTGGCTGTGTTGGCATCCGCTGTGCCTTATTACGATCTGGGTTTCTTCTGGCTTTAATACAATGACAATATAATAACCAATAGTTTAAGGGTACTGCCTTTTTAGTTAAGTAAGGGGTATTTGATATTTCTGTTGTCCTTAGCATTTAAAGGTTTGAAAAGCCCTGTCTAATGATACCACTGAGTGTCAGTGTTTCCACTTCTGCTGCATTTAAATGTTGAATGAAACTTCTGTACAGTCCCAACATTTACACGGAAGATGGCGGTAAATGATCACTTCTTAACCTGATCTCGAGTTTTCACTTGCTAGATGGAATGATCAGTGACATTACTTTCAGCCAGCCCGTCTGTTTCTTAGCTTTACACGTATTTTGAATATGATCCAAATGTTGAAATGTTGCAAACCATGCCAGAGCAATTCCACATTTGCTAAATTTTAAACATAAAATGGCTGTCAAATGATTTTTTGACGTTTGTTTTAACCTACTTTTGCTTTCAACACGTCAACATTTTGTTTTGTTTTTCCTCTATTTTTTCCACATTCCACTTATACTGTAGGCTATTTGTTTTTGTTTTTCTCTGAAATTTAGAATTGTGATTGTTGGGTGTATTGTGAATTGTGTATGTTTCCTCAATATTTTGCATTGGATAAAAATGCCTGCTTAATTAATAGATATAAATGTTGACTCTTGTTTACTAATCATCTTCATAATTTATATAATATTATAAAATCTGAATAATAGTCAGGACAGAAGTAGGTTCTTTATGATCTTTGGTGATTATTGGTTTTACCATCTTTTAACACCACATAACTACAGTGTTTGGGTTTCATAAAACACATTTATGACTTGTTTTAATGTATTTGTACAATGTAATGTCATGTATTTTTTAATCATTTAAAAAAAACATTAAGCTCTTAAAATTATGACAAAACTGATGGTCATATACTGCCAAATGTAGTACTGTTAAATTGATCTCAAATGTTCTAATTTAATTTTGAACAATTAATCTCATTATTTATTTAAAATCATATCTCTGTCTGTCACTAAATCAGATTCAGTCTTTCTTTTTTCCCCACATTATCAATTTTCTTTTTTTTTAATAAAAAATCATTATAACAATAGGTGATATTGTATTTTGTGGTCTATAGGCTATCTCCTTCTCCTCATTCACAGCTTTGATAACCCTGTTTTGATAGTCACTGTCTATTTGCCGTGGGATCTTGATATGTGCCATTCAAATGTGCTCTCACCCATGTCATTTCCTCTTTGGGCCATCTATCACAACAGGTTGCACAAGTGCCTTTTCACTGGTCAGTTGTCACTTTTGCTAATGCAAATTGTATTTGCATGAAAACTCATTGCCTCGTGGGCCCTTCCTGCGCTTGGGAACTGAGACCGCTGCTGCTGCACCAACAATCAGATCAAACCCCTGCATCAAAATGACAGTATTACTGATCAATTATTTCCATATTTCCATACTCACACAATCAATTAAAGAAAGTGATGACAGGTTTTGAAACAGGAGCTGGAGGAGCTTCAATGCTCATCTGTTTCCCAAACATGCAAACTTAATGGTTGATGTTGACATACAGAGTATATGAATTCAACATACCTTATAATTATTCACATACCCAAAGCAGACACACCTCTATTAGCGACTAAATCAGAAGAACATCAAAACAATATACTAAAAACAAAATATTAATTTGCCAGAGTAATGTCATAAGTTTTACAATGTTAACTGTATGGGAAGATTTAATTTTATCCTGAGAGGAGTGCCAGTTCAGACCATTTGTAGTTTACTTTTGGTCAACTTAATGTTAAATGCAGCTCCATGGAAAAATCTGTCCCTGTAGGTATCTGGGCATAACAGAAATTGTGATAAAAACACTGCAAAATAACATAGTCAAATGCAATAGAATGATAATGGTGTGAGGTGTAGCATTTGGCAGATACGATAAAGAGCTACAGTCTGGAAAAATATCTAGCAAGCATTCGTGATTTCAGATAAACCTGATGTCAGTGGAGTAGAGCTTGTATCGAGGAGGTAACATGGAAGAACTTACACACGCACTCTGGCCAAAACATGAAACTTTTTTTTTTCTCTGTCTCTCTCCTTGTACCCTCTTTAGTTTATGAGTCAGTGCCATGTAATCCCCTGGGTGGTGCAGCAATGTGTGTAGCTGTGCAGACATTTATGAAAACTTTATAATGGCTTATAAAGCTGAGAAAAACAGGAGTATTGGCAGACTAAGACAGCTTTTCTCTTGTTATCACAGACAGTTTGCACTAATATGCAGGCAGAATGGGTGGAGTGTATATTGTATTCTCTTGGCCTTTTCAAATAAGACTTAGAAGTCTAAACTTTGGAGAGTCCAAGCGGTGAAATATTACTGTAAATATCTGCAAATTATGGTTTTAAATAAACAATACCTTGCAAAAGTATTTAGACCCTTCTTATTTCACTGAATTACAGATTCTGCATCTGTTCCCTCTGATATTTTAAAGCTCTTTCAAAGCAGCTTTATTTTTAATGTTTACACTACACATAAAGCTTTGAATTATTATTATTATATCTTAAAATGTTATAATCTTTCTCATTTTTCTCTATTTTTATAAGTATACACATGCTCTAACTTTTGTACTCAGGTTTGCTCCTGAAAACTAGTATTATGATACCGCTTTGTGGATGTGTAGTGAAGTTTTTTTTCACTCTATGCAGGCTAGTGTTATGTGCATCTTTTCTTTCTGTAGCTCAAACAGTATAGAGCGTGGCACTAGCAATGTCAGGGTCATGGGTTTGATTCCTAGGGAAAGCAAGCACTGATCAAATGTATCTTGAATGTAATGTAAGTCCCTCTGGATAAACGCATAGGCTATGCCAAATGCATAATAAACACATGATTTATGTCCATCTGAAACGCATGATTTATGAAAATGTTCATCTGAAACACATGATTTATGAAAATGATTTATGAACATGCTCACGTGAAACATGATTTCTGAAAATGTTCAATTAACTATACTCTGTTCTCAGCTGAACTGTGTAACTGCATGTGTTTGTATACAGCCTTTTTTTTCTTTTATGTGTTTTGGTTTAACTAGCCTACCTTAGGATGGGAACTTTCTGAAATTTAACAAATAAGGCCTATATTTAAAGTATACAGGTGCATTTCAATAAATTAGAATGTCATGGAAAAGTTCATTTATTTCAGTAATTCAACTCAAATTGTGAAACTCGCCTACTCAGATTTTGTACTCTTTTCCAGATTATCTCTTTTGAATGACCTCAAGTCTTTTTTTCCACATTTCTACTGGTGAATAAATAGCTTTTAATAAAGGGTTTGTAGTTTTATTGATTCACAGAGGACAACTTTATGTTCAAAATGGCAATATTTTTCATCTGCTATTCTGTGTGATTTTTTTTGTGTGTGAGAGAGAGAGAGAGAGAGAGCGAGAGAGGGGAGGAGGAAACCTGAGGCTCTACGGAGAGCTGACCGTGCTTTCTACAGGAAACAAATCAGAGAGAGAGATAGAGATAGAGAGAGAGAGAGAGAGAGAGAGAGAGAGGGAGAGAACTGTTGTAAGCGCCGTGTTTCGTCGCGGTTTTGTGAGTGTTTTTCTGGAAGCGGGCGCTTAGCGAATCAGGGAAATCTGGAGCCCTGTTTGTTTAGTCGCGGGAATCCAAGCTAAAGGTGTTTATTTGGTGTGTTTTTGAAGGTGTGAGGCTCGAGACTGCGCGCAGAATGACCGTTGACTGGCCTGATCTGCTTATCGTTCGCGGGCATTAGGTAAGAGCACTTATTTACACCGATCAAAACTGAAAGAAAAGCAGGTAGCTTAACGTTTCTTTTGGGGCACTATCAACAATAAGACATGTTGTAGCGTAATTTTAGTCCGTTAACTCGCCCACATCACGTCTAAATTTTAGCCCAGCGAATTCTAAGTCTTCCGAGAGTCTGATATCGTACTTGTTTAAGGAACTATCAACACCTCGGTTTGCTGGCGAACCAAACACCACGCATTTGCTTCGAGGGTCTTTTGGGTCGAAAGGAGGAGGAGAATAATGGCATTGCTGGCCGTCCGGATGCTTATGCTGGGGTTTTGGTGTTGTGCTGTTGCTGCGGGAGAGGGACAGTCCACTCCGGCCACATGCTCTCCGCTGTGCCGCTGCGATGAGGACGGAGGAGCGGACTGCTCTGGACGAGGACTGACCACCGTCCCCACCGGCCTCAGCGCTTTCACATATTACCTGTAAGTCACCACAGTAACGTTTAACAATCAAGTGCATGCTGGGAACAAGTGCATACTGTATGTATAAGGCTAAAAATGTTGGCTCCCTTTTGAAAAATGTCCTTACAATGTCCATGATGTTACACGTTTCTATAAAGAGTTACCGCAGAAACACCATGTAGCAATCCCCCAAAATAATGACACATGCACTTCATGCAGTCACGTAAACTAACAATAACTTGTCTACAACAAGTCTAAAATTGTTTTCAGACGTCAAGTAAGATCATTGATCATGTAATATCAAACCACGATAAACTGTCCTGTGACTCAGAAACACACCTGTATACACTCAGTTTCATTCACAGCATAGCAGTAAGAAAGAATGTAACAAAATATTAAAGATTAGAGGTGAAAATCCACATTGAGAAGTATGATTGTTGCGTTTAGCTAAATGTCTTCTGTATGAATAAGGCTGGCAGTTGTTTTCAGACTGAAATTCATTGGAGAAAGTTTTTGCTTTGTAGCTTAAAGTCCATCTTGGGCTGCTTTGGGTACTTTGTGTAAGTGTAACAGACTAAATGCTGTATGACCCAAACTGGTAATATAGAGAAGGCTGCTCATCCATTATTAATTACAGCCAGACTTTAAAACCTTATTTTGATTTTGAGGTGAGTTGGGGTGCTTTTCTATGAATAGTGCATTCCACAAATTACTTTCTCAGCAGTCTGCTGCTGATTTTTTGTGCGTAACAGACACTAGTATTATATCTTTCTGAATGCTTTTTTAATAAATGTTATATTTTCTTAATTTTTGAATAACTTTGGATTCGCTGATCATCAAGGAGGCCTCTTATATTAAAAGCTAGAAGTAATTAAACTTAAAGTGTGTATTAATTACTGCCAAGCAGTAACTTGCCATTACTGACTAAGGGTTCATTCACACCAAGAACGATAACTATAACGCTAACTGTATTAGCGTCCACATAAATGCATGGTAACATTCTTTTTGTTAGTATAAGCATGAGCTACATTTGTGCCATCTGCCACATTAATTGCTCAAACTCTTTAAACTCAGGTGGATTCTTTCTGATTGGCTGTCAAGTGTTCATCAGCAGGAAAAAATCGTTATGAAATTGATTTCAGTGGTATAATTTTTCTGTATTGTTATTATTACAGCTGGAGTGTTGACTTCCCTATTCTTATAGAATTAGAATGATTGTTAAAACTTTGTAGTTATCATTATAGTTATCATCCTTGGTGTATGAACGGGCCTTAATTCTTGATGCTGACTCCTTTGGTCTGTATTAATGGAGCCCTCGCATCAACTGTGCATAGTTTGATGTCTCCCTGGTTGACTTTGAGAACTTTTTACCCTCAAGTTTTTCCATCTGTCTTAATACAGAAAGACTGGCTTATTGCTGGGCTGAGCCAGAGCCCGCTGTCTGTGGCACGTGTGAATCACATCCCTCACCTCATTACACTTTACCTGCATTTATTGTGTTTTCACTCTGTTGTCATTAAGTGTGGTACTTTTCTGCCAAAGTGTTTAGAAACGCGTCTGGAAGCAAGTGTTTTTTCTGCAGCTCTCTCTTGGAGCCCATACATTTTCAAAACAGCTTGACCAGGCTCTTGAAATGTCTCTGCCAAGCTGCAGCATGTAACCCAATGCCAAGCTAAGTTCAGTCTGTAGAAGCGATAAAGCCAAAAATAAAGCCACAGAGTTAACACTAGTGGTGGCAGTAGGCATCTTGGATATCAGTGAATTATATGCAAATGGCGGCTGCATGTATAGGCATCAGCAGGATGCTAACCCTCCGTTTTTTTTTTTTTTTAAACCTGTGAAACATTTTGTTAGGCAGTTTTATCATTCTAAAAATCACATTGGCGTGCTTATTGACCAATATGAAAAAAAAATGACTAGCAGGCTACATACATTATATTGTATTTTTTAGAGTTGGCATGAAATTAATTTCTTTTTCTTTTTTTGATCATTTGTTACACACTACTTTTGCTTCATCATGATTTAAAAAAAAAACTATTAGAATATGGTATGTAGTGCTGTGTTCGATACATCGATACGACGATGTATCATCACAGAGATTTGACGATACGAGTATCGATACAGCTGTCTCTGTATCGATATTGTGGCACGTGTGCAGCAGTGGACCGCACTTAATTTGAATACAAGAACAGCATTTAAAACAGAGTAGAAAAGTGCAAGGTTTCTAAAAAATAATAAATAGAGCATAATATATAGGCTACAACAAGGTTTAATCTGGCCGCAGAGGAACACCACCGGGGTTGCCTGATGTAAAGAGATTTAATCCCCGAAACAGAGCTTCCCACTTGCGCAATATGGAAATAGCTGCTAAATGTGTTACTTATCTTTGTCAACCTGGCAACCATGTGTACGCGCACTCTCTCCACTGTGGATAAACGCGCTTGCTTTCTGAAAACACCGGTAAGCTTGCAGTTTAGCGATCTCCACTT